ATCTCAAATTTTTTCACAAAATCTATCTATTACAAAAAAATTCTCTAATTTGTCCATTACATAAAATTCCTAAAATTTGAAAGATTCTATATCGATGTGAATAATCGGCAGTCAAAATTATTCTTCTTCTCGATGCGTTTAAACGCATCGAGAACAAACCATTGTTTTAAATAATGTATTCTCACCGCGTTTAAGCCGACCCCGGGGAAAATACCAGCCACCACGCCGGATTTATATCACATTAACCGTAGAATCATTTCATATGTCGTCGAGCAATACGGTAATTCTAAAACGAATTTCACTCCAATTGCATCTGCGACTGGAATTCCACCTTTTTCTTCGAGCACCTTCTTTTTCCGTCACGTGCAACCCTCCTTCTCTCTTATTTCGCCCTCGTGTCTTCGTTTAAATTAAGTTTTCTATTTTTTCCCCCTCTCCTCCATGTCCTCTCTCACTCTCTCTCTCTCTCTCTCTTCTTTTTCTTTTCTCTCGTTTCATTTTCGAACGATTGTTCGAAAAGGGTGATATTTCTCCCGTTGTTATTACTCTACAATAATTTTCAAAAGAGCAAACCTAATAATATCCAAGTTCAATATTTGGTTTCCATTTTATATACATGGCTACAAGCCAAATGTAATAAATATGTATAAAACCAACGTTACAACTTAACTGCTTGAAAGTTTATAACTTTGTAATTAGAGAAGCAATTCGCGTGTGAACTGAATTATATTTATCGGATGAGTTTCGTAAGAACAAGAGACAAATAAGATTAAAACGCTTTTCGAAATAAAAACTCGATAAACTTTAAAATGCGAGTCGTTTATCGTACGATACGAGTCACTAATTCGAAACAACGCGCGAACTAGTTTTACTATTATCAAGCAAAATTCTCGAAATTTTAAATTTCCAAAAAAAAAAAAAGAAAAAAAGAAAAGAAAAGAAAGAAAGGTCACTCGGGTTCATCAAACAAGGCCGATATAATTATCATTGTAAAATTCGATTGACCCTGTGTCTACAATGTTCCCTTTTTCTTTTTTTTGACAATACCACTCCACTCTATTCGGTGATTTCACCTATGATGATTTACATAAAAAACACACGCGCACATACACACGTAGACGCGAGCAAATCCAGAGAACTTATTCCATATCTGTCGAGGCTCGACGCCGTAAATCAACAGACAATCGAAAGGAAAATCAGATCAGACTCTTGCCACGGACGGAACGGAAGGAAGGGAATGGCGAAACGTCGGCAGAAACGAAGTGTCAACAACGGAGGAACGAAACGATCCTTTGTTTTCGCGCGTCGATACATTTTCTTCCCTCTCCCTCTCTCTCTCTCTTCCCCACTCTCTGTCTCTCTCCACTGCAACTCGGTGTAAATTACGTTTCCGCGACCTATCGGTGTTTTCGCCGCGAATGGAAGCTCCTCCGACCAAGGGTTTCCAAACGTAGACGCGCGGAGGGTAATAAAATAAATTGCAGCACTTAGCGAGAGGCTCCAGGGCCGGTTAATGCTCGCCAACCCCTCTCCCCAACCCCCCAGCGAGCCAAGCCCAGTTTACCACTCCGCCCTCGCCAGTTTCCCGCCGACTAAACTACCTCGATTAGCGATGCTTAATACGTGCCTCGGCCAAGTTGATGGGCTCGAAACAGGTCGGCCATCCTAAACTCCACGATTACCACTTCATCGTCCGCTTCATCCCTCAGAATTCTCTTTAACTTTCCATCTCCCAAGATCTGTTGGGAGAAACTTCTTTCGCGGCTCTCCACTCTGAGTGTGTATATATATATATATATATATATAATAAACTTCACCTCAACTCTGCATTCACGAGGTTCGGAGTTTGGATATCGGTGGTGGATTTTGGAAAGTTCTTTCATAGTTAGGAAAGATCAAAGATCTTTGGGCAAGCCGTTACTACCGTTGAATTCGGGTTCGATATTAATTTTCTCGTGTTTGAGTATCGAAAATTCGGTGGAGTCAAGGAACTTGGAGTAGAATCGTTCTTGCATCTGTCTGCAAGTGTCTTGAACATCGGATATCGGGTCAAATGAATCAAGTGTGTCTTAAATAATGTGGAAATTTTCCGAGTTTTATGATTTTAATTTTAGGATAAATTGATATTCTCAAATAATAAATATATAATAATAATGAGTAGTAAGTATGAATGTATTTTTATACTTGTTTAATTGTGAGGATAGCGGTATATGGAATAAGAATATCGATACACGTTTTCATAGAGATTTGAGATTTTGAGGGTAACGTTTTGGAGAAGCATTTTAAAAACAAAAATTTCGCATCATAATTGCTAGAAAGTATAGAACGAATAAAGAAAATGAAAGTGGTGGTAAAAATTATTATATCATCATCATATTTCTTTCGTTCAATCCCTCTGTTCCCAAATATTGTAGCTATAATTTCATTAATGGTATTATTCTTTACTCCTTGATTTTGATGCAATTGCAATGTTTGCGAAAGATTTGAATTCTTGTTTCAAAAAAAGAAGAAAGTATAGTTCCATGATATTTATCTACCTCGTTGATCCTCGAATGAAATAGAATAGAAGTCATAGCCGCAACCAACTTTTTTCATTAACGTTTCGAGAGTTTCTTCGATTTTAAAAAGTGGTCCTCGCGGTATCGAAGAATAAGTCCAATAGGTATCAATTCCCTCTTGATCGTTTCGATCAGAGCTACCTCAATCAGCGATACTTAATATATTCTCCGGAGAAATTCGCGAGCTCAAGTTCTGACTTTTCGATTATATCTTTGCTGGAGTTTCTCACTTGCTGCCCCACTATCGAGTATTCAACGTAGCATTCGAACATAACTGATTTACATCGTTAAATAACGCGTGGAAACTTGTCGAGAATTGTTTTAATTAGATTGAATAGAAAAATATAAAAACAAAAAAAAAGGAGATATAATACGGAGTGTTAATTTTTTTTTTTTAATCTGTGCTGTGTTTCTTTCATTCAATCATTATTTTTTTAATCTCTTAGGCGGATATGACGATATATATTTTATCGTGAAACGAAACGATTCCATTAGATAAAACAAAATTCGCCCGTGTATTTTTAAAATATTGTAAATGAAAGACAAATGAAATGAATGAAAGATTGCGTAGATTATATTCGAATCAATGAATAAAAATAATTATGAATTCAAAAGCTGTTTCAATAAACAGGATAAATCTGTGTTTGCTTAAGAGGTTATTCGTTTTGAATAATAGTTGGAATATTAATAAAGATTTGATAAAACATCAAGATATATATCATAATTTGTATAAAATATTAATATAATCGAAGGACATATATAATCGAATAGAGATTAAAATATATAGAAACAAAAGATAGAAACATTTTATGAAATATAATACCAGTGTTCCTATAGTATATCTTATTGCCAAATGTGAATACGTTATAATTTATTAATTTATATATATATATATATATATATATATATATATATATTATTAT